AGCACTTAAAGGACATCTTTGGATTCTCTGAAGCACCTATTGCAAAGAGAGGCAGAAATATGTATGGCATTCATTTTTACTCCATTGCGTTGCATATTGAAGACCAAGTGGGAATGTGGTGGTTTTAACCTGGTTTGTTAATTTATATGCACTCTCTATATTGATTAAATAATGGAATTAAAACAATGCAACACAAAGCTAGGCAAATAGTTATAGCCCATTCAAGACTCTGTGCTGCATCCACGGATGTCATCTTACTCCTGCTCAGGTGGTTCAGCGCTTTCCCTGGACATCATCACCTCCACTGCTTATATTGGCATTTTCGAATATGTGGTTCATGGAACGTACATTCCACTAGATAGAACAGGTTTTATATGTAGAAAGAGAAACATAAATGAAGTTAGTTTGGGAAATGTTGTATTACACAAAGTCAAGCAAAATCTTTACTACGGGATTTCTCAACAATTTCACTCTGCTCATGTACATTTACCTGCACCATCATAGAGGGTTGGCGTTAGTTTTCTAGGGTGGCTGTAACAAAGTACCGAAAACTGAGTGGCTTAAAATAATAGAAACTAATTATCTCCTGGTTCTGGAGGCAGGAAGTCCAACATCGAGGCGTTGGCAGGGCCAGGCTCTCTCAGAAGGCTCCAGGGGGAGCAGCCTTTGTGGCCTCATGTAGCTGCCTGTGTGTGAACAGTCCCTGGCCTGCAGACATGTCACTTGTCACACGGCCATCTTTCCTCTGTGAGCCTTCCCTCTTCCTCCCTTTGTGCACATCTGTCTCTGTGTCCAGATTTCCTGTCTTTATCAGGACGTATTGGCTATATAATGACCTCATTTATACTCGGTTATCTCTGGAAAGACCCTATTCCCAGTGAGGTCACATTCCGAGGGACCGAGGGTTAGGACTTTGATATCTCTTTTCTTGGGGGGGATACACAATTCAACCCACGATGGTGTTACCTAGTTAAATCCATTCCCCTGACTCAGAGAGCATGCTGTCGTAATATTTCCTGGAACTCACTTTGGGAACCAGCAGAGTATGTGGATGGCATTTTAAAAGCCTAAACATAGGTGTCTGTTGGTTCTTTTCCCATGGAAAAGTTGGTTTTGCTCAGCGTTATCCTCTGGACCAAAAAATAAACCTGGAAAACCCTTTTATTTCTGGTTATAAAGAATATATCAGAGTGAATATAGTTCACCCCAGATCATTTTTTAAAAACTGGGATAAAAGGTCATTACAATAGAGAAAGAGGTGTATTCTTACTGTTGTCATTGTTTTGTCATTAACCGGTCGGTCATTTTCCAAATGAGTAATGTCCTGCTAATATTGGCTTTAACTATTCGCAGACATTAAGAATTTCTGATTTGCCTAATTGAGAAAGCATATTTGGGGGAATAAAACATAACTTTAAAAAGCACCTGTACCACAGTGCTTTTCTTTTGTTCTTAGTTTATCATGTGTGTTCCAATAGCTCAGATAGTAGCTTGATCACTTTCCCTCTCTTCTTCACTTCCTCACCACATTGGACCACACGCTCTAACCCGTGTCAGGGCCTCACCAGTGGAACGCGTTTCCGTGCCTCTCGACCATGGCCTCTGGCCATAGGCTTTGCTTTGGCCAATGGAAGTCAGTGGACTCCACACATGCAGAGACTTAATTTATGCTGCAAGTTTGGGCTTGCTCTCCTGCCATACGTTTCTGTTTTGTTTTGAGAATACATCTTCAGTAGTTATTAGCGTAAGAGGATGACACGCGTGGAACAGACATGGACACCAGAAGCTTGCTACCAATTTCAGCGGCACTCAGACTAAGTCAGCTGAACCCTAGCCAACTACCAATGCATGAACTCTAAAGACACACTTCCAGGGTGGTGCCCTTGGGATTTTGTGTGACCAGCAACACAGCATTATTTTAAAAAATAATGATCGATACACCTTGTTTATAGGTTTGGCTCCCTTACTACTTTGTGAATTTCTTAAAAATGATGACTATATTTTATATAATTCTACATTTCCCCAACTTAGTCATTGCATATTATAGCCTCAAAAATGTTTGATTGGTGAATAACGAATGAGTGAAAGACAGACAAGGGTGTCTTGAGTGAAATGGTTGCTATGGTGACTCAGGTAAATAATTTAGAAACAATGCTGGAATACTGCTTTGCTTCTGAAGAAAGGCTGTCCACATTCTTAGGCTAAAAGTAGGAATTCATGCCAATTCTCATCCATTCATAAGCAGGGACCCTAAGTCCTGGACAAAAGCAAACCCTTAGATCTGACTTTATATTAACCAGATGGCCAAGTCTGAGGTTACTTTTCCATTTTCTTCCAGATGGTGATCGCTTGCATCAGCAATAAATTGGACATGTGCTCTGAGTCCACTTCCAACTCCAACTGCAGGAATTCTCTACATGAGTTGCTTTTTTGGTTATGATGCTTACCCTTGTTATTAATACTTAATAAGGAACATTTGCTTTCTAGAATTGCTACTATGCCTTGTGAATCCTTTACAAAGAACTATGATTATTAACACCATAATCTAAGGTCAGTGTAGGCCATTGTAAATACTACTAAGACAGGGGAAGATTCTGGAAGTTGTAAGAATTTAAAGTTTGAAATGACTATTTAATAATGACTACTTCCTTGAGGCAGTGTTATTGAAGTCTAAGAACAAATCTGCATGTGTGTGTGTATGTGTGCGTGTCCTTGTGTTTGCTTACTTTCCCTTCAACCACGTGCAATCCTGAGTCGATATGGAAGCACCTGAAAGCACTAGATAAAGATTATTATAGCAAAGAATTTAATCGATAACTACTTTTATCTCAGTAACACACATTACATCTTCAAAAATTATTTGCACAAATGTTCATTCTTAGCTAGTCTCAGAGTAAATAAGATCAAGCTGTCTGAAGAGTCATCAAAACAGTACAGGGGAAGTAGCCATTTTGAATGTCAAAAAAAAACCAAAAACTGCGGTCAAGGCTGAGCGGTGAGCTGCTCCTTGATGACGGGGGACCCGCCAGACCCCACAAGCCACAAGAAGGTCATTTATTATGTCAGTTCTGCACACATATGCAGCTCATGGCTGAGGAGAAATTTCAAACTAATTCCAAGTATGTCAATCATAAAATAGTAAAATAATTTTTCTGATGAACAATAAGTTACATAGTGTAATATGGGCATGCTTTAAGGAAAAAAAATCAACAACAAAAAACCCCTGAATCTGTAATGACGCTTTTTCATAAAGGATTTATTCCAATTTGTACATGTTCATATCTTCAAACACATATTAGGAAGTTTAAGGATTTTGTGTATTTTAAGAGGTGTTATGCTTTGAGGAGTCTGGAATAGTGATTGAAAGCCATGAAAGGGCAGCTTTGAAAGATGACATTATTCTTCAAAGACTATAATTAGCTAATTGAAACAACAAATACTTTCCCTACACGTAGTAAAATGAATGGGTGCACTGTCTAAGGAACAGGTGTGTCCCTGGCAGCCATGGGGCCCCAGGGAGAGGGTCCAAGTTGGCATTTTTAGTTTTTGCTGTGAGATTTTATAGACTACCAGTAGTTATTTCAGGGGGACCTTAAAATGGAATTATCTCACTTATGGCAGAACTTTGTTGATTAGGAAGTGAGAAAATTGGCATATGCAAGCAACATATTATGCCAGTCTGTGTGTGTGTGTGTGTGTGTGTGTGTGTGTGTGTGTGTGTGTGTGTGTATTTAAGTAAAATTGCCATTTCCTTTTAGGTTACAATGTACATTTAGAATGTCATTTAAGTGAACAAAATACTACCTTCTCTAACTCATTACTCATAAATTTTAAAAATATATTTTAAAGCACTTACAGCTTTTATATGAGGTTAGAATTATTAAACAAAATACACCTAACAATAGGATTTACAGCTGTCCCTCAACCTTTCCCAACACGAGCCATAAAAAATTAGCAACACTGAAAATTTTCTATTTTCATACTATTAGGTCACCTGGTGGTGATGGTAATTATTTTTTTAAAAAATGGAGAAAAACGAGCTCATTACATTACTCTGATTTCATTATGTAGAGGTGCTGCTCAAGAACATGCCGCATAAATTCTCAGTAGGTCTCAGAAATGCCCATTAAAATAGAGAACAGGGAAGGCAGTAAACTCTGTGCGCCACATAAATCTCAATGTTCTCATCCTCTGGGACTTCACACGCTGTACTTTCCTACTTGGAGCTGCTATGGAGCGAACTGTGTCCTCCCCACCCCCGCCCCTGTTCCAAATTCATATGTTGAAGTTCTAACCCTCCAAGTGACAGTATTTGAAGATGGAGTCTTTGGGAACAAATTGAGATGAGGCTATGAGGGGAGGCCGGCATAATGGGATTAGTGGCCGTATAAGAAGGGACACTAGAGATCTCTCTCTCTCTCTCTCTCTCTCTCTCAATTGCATGAAGACACAGCAACACCATGACTGGCTGCAAGCCAAAAGAAGGTCCGCCCTGGACAGTGACCCTGCTGGCACCTTAATCCTGGACCTCCAGCCTCCAGAACTGTAAGAAATTAATTCCCATTGTTCGAGTCACCTAGTCTACGGTATTTTGTCATGGTAGTCTAAGCTAAGACATATTAGCCCAATCTCTGAAATCAATTGATAACACAATAAGCCGGATTTGTTAATATAGAATTTAAACTATAATAACTCTCGAAGGAGAAAATATAGGAATGTTTTACATGCAAAACTTCATATGCCATGAGTTGATTCATTAATTATTTATGTAGATAAATGACAAGGTCACAGAATGAGAGGTCAAGACCACTGGGTCGCACCTTAGCATTTTCTCTAGTTGCTATGCAACCTTGGGGACAATCTCTGAACAGTTCAGGGAGATCGGTTTACTTTCCTTCAAAAAGGATAGATCTGACACATTTCTGGGCTCCTTTTCAGTTTCAAAGTCCTGCCATGATCAGTGTCCTTTCAAATGATGATGGAAGGCAACTCACACTTACCGTTCTGTTCCCTCTGTACTCCTGCCGCCAGAAGGTCAGGCTCACCGAGGCTGATGTCATTCAGCCTGGTCCCCAGGCACTCCATACAGAGGTGTTTGCACCACTCCTCAGCCTCCAGCTCTGAAAATGACCACATGGCATCAGTCAGTCAGTGCTGCACCGGACGATGGAGTAGGGCTGCTTCCTGGGCCACTTCCCCAAGGGGTTAGTAAGAGCTCAAAATCTACCCACAGAAAACAAAGAGGGCTATATGCAAGAAACAAAACAAACCCCCACCATTATTTCCCACTGTTTGACATTATATTTTAAGGTGATTTTAAGTTATTCTGATGTACTTTATCTGATTTACAAATAATAACAAACAGAATATTTGTTTGCTATATGATGTATTCTAGATTGATCAGACTTTTTTGGAGGGAAATCACTTCGAAAACTTAAGTATAAAATTAAAATATATACATGACTAGTTGAAAAACGTCAGACTAGATTAAGTAAGTGAATATGTTTCTGAATGTGACTTGCATTTGGGTGGGTGGAAGTCTGATCCCCAAGTCACTCTGAATTGCAATGGGTCCTAGACCAACACAAGAATGTGATTGTTTTTCTTTTATAAACATCAAAGCATCTCCTTACTATAAAAAAAAAACAGTGGGATAGGATATTAAAAATATCTTTCCCCTTTAGAAAATGCCAATTATCTAAGATACTGATTAGATAACCACTCTTTTTACTCTCATTATCTTTCAACTTCTTTGTATTCTCAAGTGTTTTTTCTTTGCTTGAAACATGAGAACATCTGCCATCTACACAGAATCTTGTAATATCGAACGCTTTCACAAACATAATGAATTTGATTCGAACATAAGCCCTGTGCAGGTAGGGTGCCTAAACGTTAGTTCTAACAGGGTCCTGTAGCATATCATTATCTTTGGTCAACATCACAACTAAATTGGAACCCAGGTCTTCTAGCTATGTTTAATTTGCAGAGATCTGAAAGAGTATGAGGTTGACAATTTTGGGCCAAGCCCCAAAATCGTTGCATGGAAGTTAGATGAGAACTTTCCATTGACACCTGCCCAGAGAAATTTCTGACTTTTCCATGGAGCATAAATCTATACCAGCACAGTTTAATATAGATTTTCTTCAGATCTTTTGTTACTCTCCATGGATGACATTCCAACTTTTGCCTTGGCATTTTCAATTTCCCATAAAAAGTTATCTGTGACAGATTTTCTTGACTGTGGATTTAAATACCAACTGCTCTGCTCAACGGTCAACAGCATCAAACCGGGTAACGTGTCCTTCCTGTGCTAGTCACGCTGCATTCACATCAAAAATTGACTTGACCAATGAGATGCCAAGGCAAATTTGTCATTCATTTTTTGTTTTATCAAGACCATAAAATATTGTTAGAAAAATCAAGAAAAAGAGCACGCAGCCTCTCATAGAGTACAATTCTAATGACAATAACAGTTCCCATGTTCCTACCACGAAAGGTGTTTTCTTTACAAAAGGTACGGTTTGCATATATCAGGGGCCATTCTCTCCAGAGTGGGAGATGCACCATCTACATAAGTCAGGGAGAGGGGAGGTTCTCCAGGGGAATTGGTCCCGAGCTCAGGTGGAGTCAGAGGCTGGGTGGGGCTGCTCCGCCATTTCTCAGAACCCTTGAAAGTAATTCTCTCCTCCTACAAGGACACTGATATAACAAATGGGCACTTGTTGAGGACCACAGCTTTCTCAAAAACATTTTTTTTCTTCCAGTGAGGAATGTCAGCTTTCATAGGAAAAAATTTACGGGAGCAACAATTGCATATATCGAAAATAAATTTCATTAACATATGAGTTTGATTTATATGATTTGTAAAAGTTTTGAAAGCTTTTCTAACAACAAATCAAAATCTTAAGCCAATTTACATGCTGTGTATCTAGGAAACCTGACATTTCAGCTAAGGGAGACACTAGGATGATTTTTTTTTTCTTTTCACATTTGAATGTTTTGAATATTTCTTAGGGCTCCAAATTAAAATTTAATTCAATTTGAAATCAGCAGTAGAAGCACATTCAATTACCATCTCATCTGTATGGCTCTATTGAATAGTATTTCCAGTGCTGCATAGACGGAGATGAGAGTATTGAGTATGCTGTCGGGGATAAAAATCAGAACATTAACTATGCCAAGGCACCTTTGTGTCAATATTCCCTTCCACTTTCAGTACTGAGTCATGCCCAGAGGTTAAAGAAGTATGTCACTCGCTTCGTCTCATCACTCTTTTGTCCCAGGGTTTCATGAGATGAAGAAAACAAGCATATGGTAAAGGGCTTCTCTGAAGCCAGAGCCCACTCTTTCATGGAGAGCTCAATGTGGCACTTCTGTGAGGACCAGAGCCAGGGGCGTCCCGCATCACAGCAGTAACAGGTGTTCATGGGCTTCCCTCAGCCGGCACAGACGGCTTGGCCAGCAGTCTTAAAAATCACCTACTTCGGCATTTTCGTAGTGCAGTAGCCATAGCAGTGCAGTAAGAAATGGAAACAGATATAACAGGATAATAACAAAGCAAGAGTAAAGCAATAGAGTTGATATAGTCACATTAAAGCCAGAACTGTAAACCATTAGACAGAGAGAGAGAGAGAGAGAGAGAGAGAGAGAGAGAGAGAGAGAGAGAGAGAGAGAAGGCTGCTGCAATTCAGGTGTCATCCAAAGTTCATTTCTTTGTTAACAAGCATTTACTGTGAGCTCAGTATAAGCCAGGCACAGTGCTAGGAGAGTTTATATGAAAAACACACACTTCCTGTTCTCAATAATCTTCAAGTCTAGGGGTGGGCAGGTGAGTTTGGAGGGTGGTACTCCAGGGGGCTGCTGGCTTAGCTGGTGGAGGGGCAATGATGGCTACAGCTCCGCACCAGCACAGAGGGAAGAGTTTGAAAAGGGATCCACCAGGCAAGCAGGAGAAAGGAGCTGGTGTGTGTGAGTGTGAGTGTGTGAGTGTGTGTGTGTGAGTGTGTGTGAGTGTGAGTGTGTGAGTGTGTGTGTGTGAGTGTGTGTGAGTGTGAGTGTGTGAGTGTGTGTGTGTGAGTGTGTGTGAGTGTGTGTGTGTGAGTGTGTGTGTGTGAGTGTGTGTGTGAGTGTGTGTGTGTGTGTGAGTGTGTGTGTGTGAGTGTGTGTGTGAGTGTGTGTGAGTGTGTGTGTGTGAGTGTGTGTGTGTGAGTGTGTGTGTGTGTGAGTGTGTGTGTGTGTGTGTGAGTGTGTGTGTGAGGATATTTGTGAGAGAGTGTGTGTCAGTGTATCAGTGTCTGTGAGTGTGTGACTGTGTGAGTGTGCTTGTTAGTGTGTGTGTGTATTTGTGATGGTGTGTGTCCATGCGTGAGGGTGTTGGAGGAATCAGGGTGGCCAGGGGCTGAGATGGGCAGTGAGAGTGACATCCTGTGAACAGCTGGGGACAGTCCTGAGTTCGTGTAGCAGGTTTGACAGACAGACAGCACCTAGCTGTCTCCTCACCGCTTTATGGTATTCATCTCCATGGATTAGCCCCAAACCTTCATTTTGCAAATACTAACCTTTGTAGTCTGCACACCTGATCTAACAGTTTTTCTGCAGCAAAGTTAAATTTGTTTATTATAAAAGATTTTGTTTTTGTTAATCTGCTTCTGACAGTCACCTTTCTAATAATTATAGCTCTGCCTTTCTTTGTTATTTTTTTAGGCAAACTCTATGTATTAAAGTCCTTTAATCTCTTGATTGTGTTAATTCATTTTGTCCCATCATTATTTAACTAGTGACTTTCTCTGAATTACCTTCTATCTTTCAGCTTTCCATGTTATTTTTTTTTTACAGAAATGAGGAGATTAAGCACCAATGCTGTAAGCAGAACCCATTGCATTATTAACTCTTTATTTTCCCATAGACTAAGTGGCTTTTGTCTTTTGTTTTATCTTTCAAACTTCTATCTTAGCCTAATCATAATAGTGCGTAAATAATTAAATTTCTTTACAGAGGAATACAGGCATAAATATGGTCTACAACATCTGCTATGTTTTTCTCTTCATGGTGGGAGTGTTTTGGTTGGTTGTTTGTTTTTTCTGAATAGCTTGCAGCTATGATATAATTTTTAATTCAGATAAATAACTTTTTTTCTAGGACAGAAACCCCCAAAATGTGTTCATTATGTGTAGGATTAGTTAAATGAAGAAATTTGATAGCTTCCAAAAGAAAATCTGAAAGATATTTGGGAATAACAAGACAAATGGAAAAGAGAGACTAAATGAGTGAGCTATGAGACAAATAGGTTTATTGATTGTAGGGAAAGTGATGATCAGAAATAGTGCAAAATAGAAATAGAATCCAAAATGGATGGATCCTCCCTGAGTTTCTTTCCATCTTTTACAGAATTCTGGGGAGAGGATGGCTATATCACTTTGAATCAGAAGAGGTCTTTACATAGCAGACCCTTAATAAATGCCTATTGAATAAATGATTAAATTCAAGCTTTCTTAGTTTCACTAAAACTATGCCTTATGATAATAAAATGAAAGTTAAATTATCCAAAATGAGCTATATTTGAAAAAATGAACAATTTTTCATCACATATATAGAAAATAGGCTATCAGTCGGAATCATACAGCAGAATTAAAAATAGCACTGAGTCAGTTCTGTGTTCATTTATTGTAAGATGCAGACAAGACTAGTTTTGTGTGGAAATAATAAATTATTGTATTTAGTCCTCACTGGATTTAGCTTTTATTAATAGTCTTGGGAAAATATAGGTAAAGTCATCCTGTTTTTATCTTCAGCAAAATCAGCAATTCTTAAATATATATAGTTTTTATATTCTGTGCAGATTTGCTATGATTTGGTGATAAATGTTGTCTTATGTTTACTGAAGTCTTCTTAAATGCATGCTTTACTGGAAAGTGAAGAAAAGTATCTCCCTGTGTACACTATTCTTTCAAGAATACAAAATTCTCATTTATTGTCATTTGAAATTCACAGAGCTTTTAAAATATACGACGTTTTGAGGATGCTTTTCATTCTTGAAAATTGGCACGTACTTGTGACTTAACTGGCCTTTGTTGCTATTTTATGGACTTTTCTTTTCTTCTCACTTTTTCTGTAGCAGGAA